GGTCTTCAAACTGCGGGATGGAAGGCGCTGGGTGGCGGGGGCTCTGGTCAGCACTGCCGACCGGGCCGTGAAAAGTCCCGTTGGCGGTGCTGCCCAGCTAAGGCAGGCTAGTTCCTACCTGTTGTGACACCGCGCTGCGCCCCGGAAGCGGCCAGCAGCAGGTCCGGCTCCTAGGCGGGGGGAGGCCACAGGGCTCTGCGTGCTGCCCCCATCCTGAGCACCAGCTCCAGCCAATGGGCCTCCGCCTAGGAGCCGGACCTGCTGCTGGCCGCTTCCAGGGAGCAGTGCGGCCTGCGGTGCCAGGACAGGCAGGAAGCCTGCCTCTGCACCCCCACTGCCTCTGCACCCCCACTGCTGCTGCACCCCCACTGCGCTGCTGACCAGGAGCCGCCTGAGGAAACCCTGTGCCCCAATCCCCTGCCCCAGCCCCGAGCTCCCCCAAACCTGGAGCTCCTTCCTGCACCCCCAACCCCTCATCCCCAGCCCCACCCCAGAGCCTGCACCCCCAGCTCAGAGTCCTGACCCCCTCCTGCACGCCAACCCCATGCCCCAGCCCTGAGCCCCCTCCCACACCCTGAACCCCTCATTCCTGGCCCCACCCTGCAGCCCTCACCCCCACACCCTAAACCTCTCCCCAGCCCTGAGCCCTTCCCACACCCTAACCCCCTCATCCCCAGCTCCACTGGGTCATAGGCATCAATCATTTTCTTCAACTGGGTCGCCAGAAAAAACCTTTGAACACCACTGGTCTAGGGCATACCCGGGCTCTGCTGGCATCGAGCCAGAGACGCCAGGTGATGAGAGAGACTTGAGGAAAGCGCTGGGGACAGGCAGGAAAGTGACTCTGCACAACCCCTGCTCGCCCCACCTCTGAGCGTCCCAGAGCGGCTGCCCCCGACACACCCAGGCCCACGCTCCTGTTAGCCGTGGCAGCAGCTACTGGAGCGGAAACGCCCCCAGGAGCGGCAGGGCAGTAGCCAGCTCTTCCATGCAGAGGAAGATGGAGAGACGGAAAGGGGCAGGCAGGTTCTGAGTTCCATTGCCCGCAGCATCCCGGGGCAGACTGACTTTCCTGGGACAAGGTGAGGGGCAGAGAGGGAAAACCGGTTCCTGCCCCTGCCTAGTTCCCACGCTGCCGGGGGAAGGTGCTGCCCTGGGGACAGTGTCAGAGGGGATCCCCCAAAGCGGCTCCTTTGGTACAGTGGGGGTTGCTTGTTGGCTTGGGGGTTCTGAGGTTTGATGGGGGGTACTGATAGCAGCAAGCTGGCAGGGCCAGGCTGGAGCAGCAGCTGTCTGCGATTTGCCTGCTCTTGCCTGGCCGTTGGTTCTGCACTGATTGCTTGTGGGGGTTTTTTTTGGCTTTTTGTTTATTTTTTATATTTTTTCACCATCCGTGCTGGTTGACACCACCACCAGCACCGACTGGCATGTCACTCTTGCCGGCCTGCCTTGCTCTGACGCGGACCGCCACGCCACTGCTAGACTTGAAGAAGCGAAGAAGACGAGTTCAGCTGAGCGCACCCCATGGTAAGTGCCTGCAGCGGCTTGGCTGAACTTCTGAGTAAAAGCTCAGCTGTGGTCAGTGTGACGTGTTCGGTCACAGAGACCCCCTTGGGACTGTCACCTGCTATGCTGAGATTACCGCTGAGCCCATTTTCCCTGCCAGCTTGGGACTCCTGAACCCTGCCTTGTTGAGCCAGACATGCCAGCCCGCTGCAAACACAGACCCAGGGTCTGAACCATGTCCCCCAAAAGCTGCAGACTAAACTGAAAACAGCTCAGCAAGTACTCCTGTCTCCAGCACCCAGACACCCAGCTCCCAATGGGATCCAAACCCCAGATAAATCCGTTTCACTCTGTATAAATCTGATACAGGGTAAACTCATAAATTGTCCGCCGTCTATAACACCGATAGAGAGATATGCACAGCTGTTTTCTCCCCCAGGTATTAATTACTTCCTCTGGGTTAATTAATAAGCAAAAGTGATTTTATTAAGTATAAAAAGTAGGATTTAAGTTGTTCCAAGTAATAACAGACAGAACAAAGTAAGTTACCAAGCAAAATAAAACAAAACACACAACTCTAAGCCTAATACATTGAGAAACTGATTACAGATAAAATCATAGAATATCAGGGTTGGAAGGGACCTCAGGAGATCATCTAGTCCAACTCCCTGCTCAAAGCAGGGCTAATCCCCTATTTTTGCCCCAGATCCCTAAATGGCCCCCTCAAGGATTGAGCTCACAACCCTGGGTTTTGCAGGCCAATGCTCAAACCACTGAGCTACCCCTACCAGAGCTCACCCTCAGAGATGTTCCAATAAACTTCTTTCACAGACTAGACTCCTTCCTAGTCTGAGCCCAATCCGTTCCCCGGTACAGTTTTTGTTAGCTACATCTCAGGTGGTAACTAGGAGATTTCTCATGACTGGAACCTCCTTTTTTCTGTTCCACCCCCTTATATAGCTTTGGCACAAGGCGGGAATCTTTTGTCTCTCTGGGTCCCCACCCCTCCTTCTAAATGGAAAAGCACCAGGTTTAAGATGGATTCCAGTACCAGGTGACATGGTCACATGTCCTGTGAAACCCCAAGCCTTCATTCTTCCTGGCCTGACTCACAGGAAGGCTTGCAAGTAAACAGAGCCATTTACAACCAATTGTCCTAGTTGATGGGAGCCATCAAGATTCTAAACCACCATTACTGGCCCACATAATTTTTTTTTGCATAACTACAATAAGACCTTAGCATTATATTTTTAGTTTCAGATACAAGAATGATACATTTATGCAAATAGGATGACCACACTCAGTAGATTATAAGCTTTGTAATGATACCTTACAAGAGACCTTTTGCATGAAGCATATTCCAGTTACATTATATTCACACTCATTAGCATGTTTTCATAAAATCATATGGAGTGCAATGTCACAGTCGGTCTTTCTGGTGGTGCATCTTGGTGGTGGTGCACTTCCTGCAACAGTGAGGGGAGGTCTGTTGGGGGGGGAGGTGCGAGGGGCAGGGGGATGGCTGTGGGGGCTTGTGGGGGGGGCTGCAGCACACGGCTTGGGACGAGTCGGGGGGAGGATTGGGGATTGCCACAGATGGAGTGGGCCTGGGGGCAGTGGGGGTGGGGCTTCAGAGGGCTGTGGGGGCGGGATTGGAGTGGCACCGTGCCACCATGGTTGGTCAGTGACTCTTGGGGCATTTCTGGTGGTGTGGTGCACCACCGGGGTGGGGAGGTTTGAGGGGGCCGGTGGTATTATGGCTGCACTGGCAGTCGGCCGGTGGCACTGTGGACGTGTGTGTGTGTGTTTAAATAAAAGCTCAGCTGTGGTGGTCTTTCTTGGTGGTGTTGGTGCATCTTGGGTGGTGGCGCAGAGTGCACCTGTGTGGGGGGTCTTTTCATGGTCTGCGAGGGGCAGGGGGGGACACAGGCTGTGGGGGTTTGTGTGGGGGATGGGGCTGTGGGGTGGCAGGCCCACAGCCGGGTGGGGGGAGCTGCAGCACTGGCTCGGGGCAAGGAGGCCAGTCGGTGGGGGGATTGGGGAGTGATGGCTGTTGGTCAGTCGCTGGGGGCTAGAGCAGGACCGGCTGTCTCAGAGGCTGAGGGGGGGGCACAGCTGAGAGTGTGTGTGTGGGGAGGCCGTGGCATGGGCCTCGCACTGTGTGGGGGAGTGCAGTGCTGTTGCCCACTCCATGTTCAGGATGGCGTAGGTGTAGGGCAACTTTGGAGACCGTGGTGGGCCCCTGTGGTCCACCTACCATTTTTAATTACAACACTTAATAGTAACATCATGAGGTAAGTATCGGACGGGGTAGCCGTGTTAGCCTGGGTCTGTAAAAGCGGCAAAGAGTCCTGTGGCACCTTATAGATAAACAGACGTATCAGAGCATAAGCTTTCGTGGGCGAATACCCATGTCGTTGGATGCACGTAGTGGAAATTTCCAGAGGCAGGTAATAAGGTAAGTGATCGTTTACAGCACCGGCTCCAGCCAACGGGCCTCTGCCTTGGAGCCGGACCTGCTCCATTTGCTCAAGAAGAATGACCGGCTCCGTCTCATCAAATGCGTACGTTGCTGTACCCAGCTGGGTGCCAGTAAAGCTGTCGCAATGCAGCCATGCCATCTAGTGTTTTTACTCTCCCGTTTCTACAGCTGGGTCTCTCACAGCCCCCAGAGACAGCGTGCATATGCAGAGCTATTCCAGCTATCAGCGACGAGATGGCTGTCCATTCACGGCTGTTATGTGCGCGTGCTGGATCAGTGGGCTGAGTTGAAATTGCATTTCCAACTGAGCAAAGATCAGCCGCAATGCTATGATGCAGAACTTCTGCATCAGATGTATTGTGGCCCTGTGAATAAACTGTATTTACAGTTTCTAACACCGATTCTGCATGAATTCTCCAGAATCAACAAACTGTTCCAACTGGAATCTGGTGGTAAAGCCTTCAAGATGCTGGACCCCCTCCTGTCTTTCTTTCGGGGTCTTTTAGCGAGAACATTGTTTCCAAAGAGCATCCCTTGTATTGGACGCTGAACTCCTGGAAGTCAACTTGAGTGACGCAGCCAGTCACTTGCCACTGTGCGCTGTTAATTTCAGCGCAGTGTCCACGATCGCTCTAGGAGATGCAACGCTTGACAAAGCTCTTCAAGAGGGTATAAAGAGTAGATGCTGAGAGTTCCTTCTTGAAGTGGCTAACAAGTGCAGTCGAGACAACGAGCGAATATTGACCTATGGAACCCTGTCGTCCCTTCATGCTTCAGCCACCATTCCAGAGGACAAGCTTCCATGCTGATGATGCTTGTTAAAAAAATAATGTGTTAATTAAATTTGTGACTGAACTCCTTGGGGAAGAATGGTATGTCCCCTGCTCTGTTTTACCCACATTCTGCCATATACTTCATGTTACAGCAGTCTCGGATGATGACCCAGCATATGTTTGTTTTAAGAACACTTTCACTGCAGATTTCACAAAACACAAAGAAGGTACCAATGTGAGATTTCTAAAGATAGCTACAGCACTGGACCCAAGGTTTAAGAATCTGAAGTGCTGTCCAAAATCTGAGAGGGATGGGGTGTGGAGCATGCTTTCAGAAGTCTTAAAAGAGCAACACTCCGATGCGGAAACTACAGAACCCGAACCACCAAAAAAGAAAATCAACCTTCTGCTGGTGGCATCTGACTCAGATGATGAAAATGAACGTGCGTTGGTCCTCATTGCTGTGGATGGTTATCGAGCAGAACCCGTCATCAGCATGGGCGCATGCCCTCTGGAATGCTGGTTGAAGCATGAAGGGACATACGAATCTTTAGTGCATCTGGCATGTAAATATCTTGTGACAACGGCTATGACAGTGCTATGAGAATGCCTGTTCTCACTTTCAGGTGACACTGTAAACAAGAAGCAGGCAGCATTATGTCCTGCAAATGTAAACAAACTTGTTTTTCTGAGCGATTGGCTGAACAAGAAGTAGGACTGAGTGGACTTGCAGACTCTAAAATTTTACATTGTTTTATTTTTGAATGCAGTTATTTTTTGTACATAATTCTACATTTGTAAGTTGCACTTTCATGATAAAGAGATTGCACTACAGTACTTGTACGAGGTGAATTGAAAATACTATTTTTTCTATAGTGCAAATACTTGTAATCAAAAATAAATATAAAGTGATCACTGTAGACTTCGTATTCCATGTTGTAATTGAAATCAATATATTTGAAAATGTAGAAAACAACCAAAACTATTTAAATAAATGTATTCTATTGTTTAACGGTGTGATTAATCACATTATTAATCGGGATTAATTTTTTTAATCATGCCATTAAGCGCAATTAATTTTTTGAATTGCTTGACCGCCCTAGTTCTTTTGTTAAAATAAAGACTCAGTTAGCCATCAAAGTTTGTCTAAACGTATAGGATTTTCTTTAGCAAGCATGATTTTTAGAGAGACTCTTTACTGAAGCATTGAACGGATGTTATGTTTCCGGAATAGCGCACTGGAATTCCACTGTGGGTCAGAGTATTTTCACAAAATAGGCAAGGATTGCTGTTGGGCAAAGTCTGTTTTTTGGGGGGGGTATATTTAGCCTTGCTACCGGAGAAGCACCAATCATTTGGGCATAAACATGCAATGCAGGACTGAGTCAGCACTGGACGAGACCGAGAAGAAGGTTCCCCGCCAAGGGTCGCCGAGCAGAGGGCCAGCCCCGGTGTTGTGGTTGTTACTATTCTGGGTCTTGTTGTCACTGCCACGGGTTCTGGCCCGCTCGTCCTCCTGCCGTTTCTTCAGATAGATGGGGTGGGTGCTCTCAGTGACTGGACCTGGGGAGAAGCCAAAGCCTGAGCTCCAGGAGCAGCTCCTCGTCAGTGAGCTGCATGGCTGCCGCCATGTTCCTCTGCCCCACCGCCGCCACAGCGTTTCCTACACGCCCCGGCTAACAAAAAACCAAGCATTGTCATCCCCACGTCACGAAGAATCTGGGATTCAAGTCCATGCAGCAAACACAAGCAGCCTGAAGTGATCGGGATACAGTGACAAGGAGGGGTGGTGTGGTGATGACGGAGGTTGCGGAAAAGCGAGAGCAATCTCATTGCCAGTCTCTTAAAGACTTGGGGGGGGGTTTCTCTGTAAATCCTCCAGATGCACGCAAATGTTTTTGTTTTATACCTCTATCTTTACGGTTTTCCACCGAAGTGCTGTTGAAGAAAACCCCCTAGGTATTTAACCTGTCCCTGTTTGCTGCAGCGGCTATCTGGCAGAATGGGTACAAGTTACAACGTACCTTTTTGTTGTGTGCACTTTAATGCTAAAAATACATTTTATGGAAGTTTTATAAAAACACCCCTTTTGAAGTGTGGGGCTTCTTTGGGATTGGGCTTGTTCTGAAACGGGATCAACTTGTTTTGGGGCTTGTTTTGAAAGCCGGGTCACTTATTTAAAGCGTGAGTTTCGGAGTGCCTGACTGCTGCTCTACCCACTAGATTTGACAGCCCATGTCCCAGTCACTGACAGCTTGCTCGTGTGTTCTTGCAAGGGTTGCTTGGGGGGGAGTGGGCAGTGCACGCTGGTGGTTGAACTGGGATTGGGCAGCAGTCACCCACAGGGGCCTGATCTGCTCCTCCTGGTTTCTTACTGCGCCTCCTGTTCTGGTTTTGTAGGAGTGCTCGTGACATCCCTGGTGTAACCCCACCAAACTTGTTACACCAGAGGTGCATTTGGCCCCTTTTTAGGGGAAAGAGAAACAGGTGGCTTTGTAAATAACAACAAATCTGCATTGGCTTTGCTAATTAACTGACCGGACAACTTGCAAGTGGCAGAGCCCCCTAGTAGCTCCCCCTGGGCGTGGGTGGGGAGAGCCCCAGGCAGTGGGACCCCCAGGCTGCTGGCCTAGCGGCTGGCCCCTTTCCTGCTGGCAGAGGAGAACGTGTTCTGCGCGGCTCTGGCGTCTGCTCCTGAACGTTCTGGTTTTGCCGTAAAGGGAGCAGTTGCATCATGTTCTCCGGAAGCAGCCGGACCCTGTGCCAGCACCTGTTTGCCTTGCAAAGCAGGCCTGGGCCAAACGCTGGCAAGCAGCGCATGCCAGAGTCACAGGGGCCGAGAAAATACAGCCTGGCGCTGAGAGAACAGGGTGAAGGAGAGGCACGTAGCTTGGGCCCCTGGGGCAGCGGCTGGGCGACAGCCTGAGACGGCAACTTTGAGAGCTGCCACGGTGGTTCCGGAGCTGTCTTTATATGAAAGGAGCTCCTTAGATTAACAGGCCGGTGTGGTTTGGGTGGGGCCCAGCTGGGGAACGGGGTCGTAGGGCAGGTAACGGCAGCTACTCTGATCGAGAGGCAGGATCCCTGCATCTGATGGACAGACCTGTGCTGTGTGCACGTAGGGCAGAGTTGCCGTACTCGAGGTTCACTGGTGGGGGCTGGGGCTAGGCAAGGGGCTTTACTGTAGGGTTGCTCAGAAGGGCCGACTAGCAAATACCGGCTTCTCGTTGCACTCCGGAGTTTGTCACTGGGGCTAAGGTTGGGTTCTGTGGTTGGGGCTCTGCTGGGGACTAGGGCTGCACGTGCTAGTTGTTTTTTGTAGGGTTGCTCCTGAGGACTGGGCTTCTGCCCCCTATTGTTTGCAAAACAAAAAAGCAGCATTAAAACTTGTGGCTTTTTGGGGCGGGGGGAATGAACATTGAATGGAACGGATTGTCGCCTACATCCAAGAAGCCATAAGAAGGGTCATGCTCGGGGCCTGCCAGCCTCGCTAGCACCTCCTCCTGGCTCCATGCCTCGCGCAGGGCAGGGTCTCTCCCTCATGTGGCCGGGTTGGGGCTGGCCGTTCAGCAGGGTTTGAAAATGCAGCTTGTAAGATCAGCAGCCAGCGTACCTAATGCCTTCCTGCGCTCTCCGGGCCGGACGGGGTGCATGCGTGCCTCTGTGTGTGTCCACGCTTCCTCGAGACCCCCAGGGGAGAGGTTTTGGGAGCAAAAGTTCAGACCCTTTCTGGGCCTCCTGAGTTTCCGAGAAACCTGAATTCCACTCTAAATGCTGCTTGTATAAAACCATGAAGAAAACCATGTTTTGCTGAAGCGCGGCAGGCTGGGGGGCAGGGAGGGGGCGAGTCAGTAGCCCATGGAGCCATGCCTGCTCCTAGCCTGCTGGGGATCGGAATGGGGAGATGTGCAGCACCCTTATAGCAATAAGCGCATCCAATGCCCTTCTCACCCCACAGCTCTGCATAGACTCAACTGAACTGAGCCTCACAGCCGCCCTGGGAGAAGGCAGATGTTGCTAACAAATGGCCTGGGTGTATCCGCTGTCCTGTTCCTGCACGTGCTGGTGACACAGAATTTCACCATGAGACAGTAGGGACGGACTTTACAGCCTCCTGCTTTAAAAGCACATGGTCCCCATGTGCAAAGTGCATCTTCATGAGCACTATGTAGGCCCTATGACGTAGAGGTGAGATCAGCCCTGGTTCCATCCAGTAGGGGGCAGTTGTGCAGATACAGACTAGCCAGTTCATTTCACTGTTATCCCTGCTGACAGGCAGGGAAACTGAGGCACGGAACTTAAGTGGTTTGCTTAGGTCTTGCAGTGAGCCAGTAACCGAGCCGAGAATACATGCCCCTTCTTTTCTTATGATAAAGCTCTTACCTGTGCGGGACAAATGGGTAAACACCTGTGTTTAAACAAAGCCATGTCTCGTGCTATGCTATTACACAATGTTTGGCAGCTTGCTTGGGAGCGACACCATGTGCATGGTGATGTGCTCCACCCTCCCAACCCACCGTCTTATTTATTTTTGCTGTGGTAGCTGGATCAGCAGCTGGGGTGGTGCCAGATCCCATGGGCCAGGTTCTGCTCTGTTACACCTGTGTAAATCTGGAGCAGTGGGGCAGGGGGAGGGTGAAAATCTGTCTCTCTAAAGTGCTTTGGGCTCTTAGGGGGAAGGTGCTCTTGGGCAGTGGGGTTGGCATTACGGTGCGTGCCACACATGCAAAGCAGCTGGCCTGAGATGGACGCGAGCTCTGCTGTGATAGCCCCAGTGGGCTCCCCCTCTCTTGGCCTTCACACTGAGTGAGCAGCCCAGGGCTGGAGCCATCCCAGCGTGCTGGGATTCCCTCCGAATCAGTCCTGCTTTCTGGAGGAGAAGGTAGTGGTGGGAGGCTGCTGAGGTCACAGCATATTGGAGGAGACATCCGGATGGAAAGCAAGGCTGGTCGGTATCTCTGGGCTCTGGCAGATGGCAGAGGGGTAGTGAGGCTGCACAGAAAGCCGGGAAGGGGTCAAGATATATCAAGGATTCCCCAAGCAGGAGATGTTGGTTCTATGTCTTCTCTGCTGGGGAGAGGACGATTCCTAACTGTGCTACATGTGAGGACTGTGTTGGAATCGCAAGCTCTCACTTTGAGTGAATGTGTGGGGTGGGAACTAACAGGGTGTTTCCCTGACCCTGCTCGCAGGCTAGGGGGCTCCCCAGAGAAGCAGGAGGTCTGAGTCGTTCTGGAAAGAGCTGGTCTCGAACAAGGTGGGGTGAGTTGTATCTCGGTGCCTTGGGGAGCAGCCTGCTTTGTCTCTTTCTGGTTTTGGTTACTGTGTGTCTGTCATTCTGGATTCAAAGAATAAAGGCAGTGCTACACTGCAACCTTCCAGCAGGAGTATTTGTTGTAATCTAACGTCTCTGCATGTCTGCCCCGAACTCAACACTCACTCATGAGCAAGGCTGGATAGTCCCTTGGTGGCGACATATCTTCCATGCCACCCCTCCAGTGCAGTCGTAACAGGGCAAAGTGGGTATAGAACAGGGGTGTCAAATATGCAGTTATTTTCTGCGGCCCACCAGCTCTCCATGCCCCCCCGCCACTCCAGCGCTTACCTAGAGCGGCTCCGGCCTGGTGCACACCGGGGACAGGGCAGGCTCCCCACCTGCCTGCCCTGCCCCTACGCCGCTCCGGGACCTGGGAAAGGGGGGGGCACAGGGGTCTGTGTGTTGCCCAGGCCGCGCCTCCAGGTACCTTCCCCGAAGCTCCCATTGGCCACGGTTCCCTGTTCCCAGCCAATGGGAGCTGCAGGGGTCAGTGCCTGGAGGCGTGGCCAGGGCAACACACAGACCCCTGTGTCCCCTCCCCTCCCTGCCAGGTCCCGGCCGCTTTCCGGAGCGGCACGGGGGCAGGGCAGGCAGGCGGGGAGCCTGCCCTGCCCCTGGTGCACGCCAGGCCGGACCCACCCCCCGAACCCCTCCTGCAGCCAAACCCCCTGCCCTGAGCCCCCTGCTGCACCCCACACCCCTCCTGCACCCCAACCCCCTGTCCTGAGCCCCCTGATGAACCCCGCACCCCCCCTGCACCCCAACCCCCTGTCCTGAGCCCCCTGCCGCACCCTGCACCCCTCCTGCACCCCCTGGGGGTAGGGAGGGGGCGGAGTGGCGGTGGGGATTTCGGGGAAGGGGTTGGAATGGGGGCAGGGAAGGGGTGGAAAGAGGTGGGGCGGGGCCTCCTGGAAGGGGTGGAGTGGGGGTGGGTGGGGGACTCAGTGATGCAGCCCTCGGGCCAATCTACTCGTCCTCAGGTGGCCCTCGTGGTCATTTGCGTTTGAGACCCCCGGTAGAGAACAACACCAGGTCAGAATGGCAGCACAGTGGCAGTACAGAGCGGCAGAGACGAGTTGGGCCCTGCAACATTTTAGGCCCTTGCTCTAAACAAATCCACCAGCCTCTTCTTGCCTGCGCCAGGCCGGAGCTGCGAGGCGCTGTCGGTGCTGCACTTTCCCTACAGCCCCGAGCTCTCCCAGCTGCAACAACAGCAGGCTTCCTGGCTGGCAGGACAGAGGGCTTGGTTTCCTGTTTTGTCCCACACAATTCTGAGGGTGCATGGACCCGACCGTCCATGCCAACAGCATCTCAGCCGGGACACGCTGGGTCCGACCCTGCCTTCGGTTTGAGACCAGTGCTAAATAACAAGCAAGCTGGTCCGTTGCAGGCCGGAGTCCCTTCCGCGCTCACCAGGCTCGGGCTTGGGGGGTCGTTGCACAGTGACTCTAGACAGCTCAGGGTGGCAGCTCCTAAGGCAAAGAGCATCCCAGCGTCGGTGTGTGTCCAGCAGCCTCCCTACAGACTCCCCGTTAGAGTCAATACAGCCCAGGCCTGCCTGCTCTCTGCCACCCTTTGTCTGGTCTGCTTGCACTTTGGGGCAGGGACTGTGTCTGCCCAGTGGGGAGACAGTGTGGCCTAGTGGATGGGGCACTGGATCAGGACTCAGGAAACCTGGCTTCTGTTCTTTGCTCTGGCACTAGCCTGCTGGGTAATCTTGGGCCAGTCTCTTGGGCCCAGATCAATGGGAGTTTGGTGCCTAAATACCGCTCAGCAGCTGGACCTGAGCTGCGCTTCCACTTCCTCACTTGACAGATGGGGATGACAAAGTGCTGTCAGGATTGGCTGATAGGAGAGCTGGGGATTAGCATGAGTTCAGGGGAGACCTGCGGGATTTACTGCGACGTCAATAAAAACCAACGGCAACCGTCTGCGGGGCCCGTAGCGCCAGTCCCTTTCCCTGGCGCGCAAAATGCTTTAAAACCAAATCTTAGAAGGAAAAGTTCAATGCACCAAATTGGAACGAAGGGGGGCGGTGTTTTCCTTTCCTCGATTTCACAGCATGTTCCAGCTGGTGTGGCGGGAGCTGTTTCTGCCTCCAAGCCTCTCCAGCTGGGAGCTATTTGCTGACTGGGAAGGGAGGGGGGGCTTATTCTGAGCACAGTATGTTACTCTGTCCCCTCCCCACCCCCTAGCAGCGTCAGCAGAGGATCAGAGCCCCTGGAGTAAACAGAACAGGCAGCTGGAGAGCAGTAACAGCGGGACGTCAGGGAAACCCGAGAGTCACCCACTGTCCCCTTCTGCCTGCCAAGGACCAGTAGTTGCGCGAGTTCCCAGCACTCACATGGGTCACTGGGTCCAGAGTGGGGGGTGGATTCACTATTGACTCTTTAATCATGTACCTGCCCTGCCCTACCCGCTCCTGGGAGCTGACACATTCTTGGATGCCATCGCTTGGCCCGGGGCAGGCTGGGAGAAGGGGCGAGGGGGGGGTGACTGTGCGGTTGATTCTGGGACAAATATTTTTCTGCTGGCTCTCTCCTCCCGTCTGTTTATGTCACAGCTGCAGCAAGGTCCTTGTGCCCAGTTGTTTTCACCCTGGCTGTTGCCTTATGGGGCAATGGATCTCCGTTCCCAATGCACAGGGTTCCCCCACCCTGCAGTCAGCCCCTGACCCAGATTGCCTCAGCTGTTCCTTTGTGATCATGGCCCCCGCTAAAATCAAGCCCCAGCTGCTGGGGGGGCGGCTGTTTCGTGCTTAGGGTCCTGCGTGTTTGATGCTGAAGGTTCCAGGGTCAGTCTCTGACAGTCTATCTGTGCGTAGCTGGGGTATGTTACACGCACCCCGAACTGGAGCCCTCCTCTGTGCCGCTGCACAGAGGGGCGCAGGAGTGGCTCTCTGCTGCATGGCCAAGGAGCAGGACAAAGGGGGCTGTGTCTCTGCAAAGGAGACCAGGGCTGCAGCCCCATCCATCCCGCCAGAGAGCAGCGTCCTGCAGCGCCCGAGGAGTTGGGCCCAGCCGATGGCTTGACAGACCTGCCAAGTTGGTTCCCAGGGTCTGATAGAAATGTAGGACAGGACCTCCAGAGGTCATATCCAGCCCCCTATGCTGAGGCCAACCTAGACCATCCCTCACAGGGGTTTGTCCAACCTGTTCTTAAAACCTCCAGGAACGGGGATTCTAAAGCCTCCCTTGGCAGCCTGTTCCAGAGCTTCGCTAGCCTTGTACTTACAGTTTTTACTAATATCTAACTTAAATCTCCCTGGCTGCAGATGAAGCCCATTGCTTCTTGTCCTGCCTTCAGCAGACGTGGAGAACAATTGATCCCTGTCCTCTGTATAACAGCACTTAACAGATTTGAACACTGCTGGCAGGTTTCTCCCTCCCCAAGACTAAACAGGCCCATTTGTGGATTTTTAACCTTTCCTCAGAGGTCAGGTTTTGAAATCTTTTATCACTTTTCTTGCTCTCCTCTGGACTCTCTCCAATTTGTCCTCATCTTTCCTAGGGTGTGGTGCCCAGAACTGGACACAGGACTCTAGCTGAAGCCTCACCAGTGACAAGTAGAGAGGAAATGCTACCTCCTGCGTCTTACAGACAAACACGACTGTTCAGACATCCTCAAATGATACTTTTTGGTCACCGCATCGCATGGTTGACTCAGACTCGCTTGGCGATCTATTATCACCGCCGGATCTTTTGCAGCAGAACTGTAAACCTAGCCCGTTTTTCCCCCTTCCGTAGTTGTGCCTATGATTTATTTTTCTTCCTTCCTAAGTATAGTACTTTGCACCGGTCTTTACTGAAGTTCATCTTGTTGCTTTCAGACCAACCCTCCAATTTGTCAAGGTCATTTGAATTCTAATCCTGCCCCCCGAAGTGCTGGCGACTCCTCCCAGGCTGGTGTCATCTGCAGATTTTCTAAGCATCCCCTCCACTCCATTATCCAAATCATTAATGAAAATATCGAATGGTACCCAACCCAGGACAGACCCTGTGGGGCCCCAGTTTGCCAGCAAACCACTGATCACAACTCTTTGAGTACCCGTTGCGCACCCACCTTACAGCCCCTGGTTCCCTATTTCCCTAAGGCGAACGTCCTGTGGGGCTGTACCATGCCTCATGGAAATCCAGATTTTGGTGAGGTGCTGAGCACTCGCATGGCCCCTGCTGTCACTAGGATTGTGCAGGGAGGTAGCCCAGAGCAGCCAGGCACTTCCATACCCCCTCATCAGAGAGATGAGCCTCTCTCGGGTGACCATGGCCTAGAGCAGACGCCAACACTGTCCCCTGGCTCTGTGTGAGCTTTGCCTCTCACCTTAGCTGACCCTGGTACCGGGCTGCTCACCAGCCCTAGACAGGAGCATTTCCCAGGTTATCTGAAGGGGAACCCTCCCCCTAGCTGAGCCAATAGCCTTGCTGAGCTCCCAGCGGGAGGTGGCCTATATCCCAGGTGTCTCTGCCCTCCTGCCTGCCCCCAACACACCCACCTGCCCTCTGAACTGTGTCTTGCAGCTGTGGTTATCCTGGATTACGAAGACCCTGGTCACAGCTCCATAGTGAAGGTTGAGTTGCATTTAAATCAAGGATCCGAGGCTGTGTCCCTACAGCACGTAGGCCCATGGGGTCCTGGGCCATGAGGGGGGCTCCTAGGTGCTAGGGGAATACAAATAATGAATAGCATTAATTAATTAGTAACATTCAGCCCTTCCAGCACTTTCCGGCTGAGGATCACAAAGTGCTTTACAAACAGGAATGGATTTCCTCTCACATTAGTAGTAGTAGAAGGATTTGTGTTACAGGGGTGCCAAACGGCCGCCTGAGAACTGGGCCCCAGGGTGCCAGGCGCTGCACAGACAGTCAATCCCTGCCCCAGAGAGATTCTGATCTCAACAGACCCCATCCATTGGGTGGGGGGAAAGGCTGTGAATGTTTGTGTGTGGGGGGGGGAAGGACAGGACAAAAGGCATGTTAATGTGGTGTGATTTCTGGGAGGGGATTGACTGAAGGAAGGGACAAGGGAAGGGACAGGAGACATTGACAGGAGGGGATCGGACAGGGGAGGGGAGGGAAGGAAGGAAGGAGGGGAGCACCGAGGGTAGGTGTGGCATGAGGCTGGAGGGAAGAGCCTGAAGGAAGGAGTAGGAGATGAGTGGCTATTTGGGGGGACAGTAGGTGGGGTGTGCGTGTAGGGTCAGCAAAGGGGGGGTGCGTGTATGTGCACACGTGCGCAGGGGCAGTAAGGGGGGTGTCTGTATGCAGGGGCAGGACCCACTCTCATGGACCAGGCAATGGCAGGGTGGGCATGGGGGGAAGCTGTCACGGTGCAGGATGGTTTCCAAGGCGTTTGCGGTAGTCAATTCTCATGAGGTGCTGTGAACAATGCCAGGAGGAGCCCAGGGACAGGGCGGCAGGTCCCACTCCCGGGCCTCAGCCACGGGGTCAGGTTCTGCTCTCAGATCCCCCAGGGCAGCTCTGCTGACCTCTGTGCAAACAGGAGCAGAACTCAGGCCTGGCCCGCTCCATGCCCACACTGTGGAGTCTCTGCGGGGGACGTGCTCCATCGCTGGGGGTTCAGCGCTGGCTGAGGAGGAGCATTACGGCCACTCTCCCCACCAGATGAAGAACCTGATCCTGACTGGGAACCAGTGTCACATCAGTGCAGCTCCACTCCTGATTTACACCAGAATGAGGAGGTGGCTTGCTCCTGGGGCCAGATAAGGGGCTTGATTCTGAGCCTCCCCCACTCTGGTGTAAATAAGGCATAACTACACTGACAGCGGAAGGATTACGCCTGACTTCCACTGGAGTAACTGTGGGGAGAATCTAGCTCATTGAATTTAAAAATGATTTATCATCCGCCTGGAGAGGTGAGCTCCAGCTTGGTAGATCTCAGACCACGGCAAGGAAGGTGGTGGCCTCCTGCAGTAATCTGATGCCCTAGTGCTCTGCCTGGCCACCAAGAACCTGACCCAGACAGTAAATCAGACCTGCGTAGGTGGGAGGAATATGCTCTTGTTAAGTAAATCATTTGCCACTTTTCCACTGTCTTTACAAAAAGTTACAGATTCCAAAGGCTGAGGTGTTTGGATTGGGGCTGCAGATGGCTCCCACCTCTGAGTCAAAGGGAGCTCAGATGGGGCTCCCAGTCTTCTAAGATTCATGAAGTCATAGATTTTTAAGGCCAGAGAGGACCAAACAAATCTGATCTCCTGCATCACCCCAGCCAGAGAGTGGACGGAGGCCTCAGCCAGAAAACTGTGTCCAATCTCTCAGAAAGATTTGGACAAATTAAAGTGAGCCCAGAGGAGTAACAGGTTTAGAAAAACTTTTATCGATGAGAACAGGAGTACTTGTGGCACCTTAGAGACAAACAAATTTATTAGAGCATAAGCTTTTGTGGGCTAGAACCCACTTCATCGGATGCATACAATGGAACATATAGTAAGAATATATATATATATATATATATATATATATATATATACAGATAAATTGGAAGTTGCCAACTTCTCTGTATGTATATATATATCTTCTTACTATATGTTCCATTCTATGCATCCGATGAAGTGGGTTCTAGCCCACGAAAGCTCTAATAAATTTGTGAGTCTCTAAGGTGCCACAAGTACTCCTGTTCTTTTTGCGGATACAGACTAACACGGCTGCTACTCTGAAATTTATCAATGAGGAAAGGTTTCAAAAAACTCTGGGTATGTTTAGTCTTGAGAAAAGCAGACCTGATAACAGTCTTCAGATATGTTAAGGGCTGTTCTAAAGAGGACAGTGGTCAATGTGTGTCCATGTCAGTTTAAGCCCATTACTTCTTGTCCTGCATTAATCTGCAGCAAGGGACATTTAGGTTAGGTCTAGGTTTACTTGGTCCTGCCTCAGTGCAGGGGGCTGGACGTAATGTTCTCTCAAGGTCACTTCCAACCTGACACTTCCATGGTTATGACTTGTCCCTACAAGGGAAGTGACACTCTTGAGCCCAATAACTCATGGCTGAGCTCAGTGGATCTTTCGGTAAGACGGCCAGGGATAGATTGTCACAGGTATCTGGGCAGTACGGATGCAGATAGGGATCTGCTGGAGCTTTCAGGGGTTCCGAGGTGCCGAACACCCCTAGAAATCACTAGGAGTTCGGCACCGAGGTGTTTTTGAAAAGGCTGGTAGGGGCCTACATTTAGGAACCTAAATTCCTTTGCATACCTGGCCCCCAGGCTCTGTGTAAAAGCAGCAAGATGAGAAATTCTGCATTTGACATTTCCAGCCGTTGAGGCCTAAATGTTCAAACGTGGTCATGGATTTGTGGGGCTTCAATGATTGGAGCCCAGCTTGAGGGGAGCCTGACTTGCAAAGATCAAGTGGGGGTTGTGGATGCTCAGTACCCTGGTGTGCCTTGGGTTGGTCAGCCAAATAAATGGACAAACCTAAAATCAGTGGGAGCTGTATGTTCCAAGACAGTCGGTTAGCATGTGTGTGAGTGTAATCTATATTATAACAATACAGAGCTTTTATCTAGCTCTTTCCATCAGTTGATCTCAAAGCACTTTACGTAGGAGGTCAATATCATTATCCCCATTTTACAGATGGGGAAACTGAGGCACAGAGATGCAGTGTCTTGCCCAAGGGCACCCATCAAGGCCAGAGCCAGGCACAGAATGCAGGTTTTCTGATTCCCAGTCCAGGAATCCAGTGCTCTATCATTTAGGCAACACTGCCTCTCTCAGGGGAGAGGTTGGTTCATCAGCAGAGCAATCTCTCAGGGCTCTTATGACACCCCACTTACTGCATCCACCAATGAGCCAGAGAAGCAGAGAGGTGAGTGTTGGAGCAGGCAAGATGAGGCTGGAAAACCTCTGCAGGCTGGCTGTTAGGGTGGCAATAGGCAGTGAGCCCAAGCCAGGGAAGTAGGCAACGGGCATCACAGAAACAGAGCATGAGATTGCTGGAGAATCACTCTGAGAGACGTTTGAGGCAGGGGTTGTATTTTGGCAGGCTCTCACACTTTTGTAGGGGTCTCGGTAGCTAAGTAACAGAGGATGGGTTGGCCAGTTATCAGTGTCTGTGCAAACAGCATTGCAGAGTCTCATGAGATTAGGTATTTCTCTTAAAGCCCCACCTCCTGGAACCCTGTAATCACATGAGAATCTCAGCTTTCATTTAAAAAACAATTAAGTTTCTAGACTTAGAATCTATGGCCAAAGTTTTCCAAAGTGATTAGGGTCCAGCTCGTCACATGTATTTAGGCACCCAGCTCCCAACTGGAGTTAGGCACCTAAATACCTTTGAAGAACTCAGTCTAGGTCCCCAGTTTGAGACCTTAAAGGGACCTGACTTTCAGAACGTGCCAAGCAACAGCCTGCTGAAAATCTGCACCCTTTGAGATGTGAGCAACACAAGGTGGGAGAGATAATATCCTTTCCACCAACAGAAGTATGGTCCAATAAGACACAGAAAAGCTTTTGAGCTACCCTGAGCTCTTCTCCAGGGTTGGGAAAGATACTCAGTGTCACAGCTAAATACAAGGTAGAACAGATTGTTAAGCGTAGGAGTTAACACAGATGTTCCACCTTGTAGTTATCCGTGACACTGACTCCCTTTCCCAAACCTGAAAGCTTGTCTTTGTCCCTTCCACCCACAGAGGTTGGTCCATTCAAAGATATTACCTCATCTGCCTTGTCTCGCTCATATCCTGGGATCCACACAGCTCCAGCAACTCTTTAAGATGTCTCAAGTTGGACACTCAAGGCTTGTGGCCCGGACTGGCCCCCAAAATCTTTAGTCAGTTGTGAAAATCTTGGCCTATGAATCTCTGAATAGAGATCCTTGAAAACAACATTTATGGGGAAAAATGTTGTTTCTTGTTACTGTTATTTGGGTCAATGTTTCATTTTTCAATGGTTCTTTTTATGAATATTTTCACTGAAAAAATCAAATGAAATTAAAAAGTTCCTCTCTTCTTAATTGTTGTGAGGAACAGCCGTACCTTTCTGTGACCAGCTCTGAGAGCCACCTGTAACTTGGCTTTAACATTCTTCAGTTTTTTAAGGTTCAAGATACCTGCTTGTGTTTGGCTCCATTTTCAGGGTGAATTTAATGCTGTCAAAGGGCACCAGATTGACAACTCTAGTATTATTATTTGGCTTGCAGTAGTGCCTAGAGGGCCCCTTTGTGCTGCACGTACAGAGTGGTCCCTGCCCTCAAAGAGTTTACAGTCTAAGTAGGAAGGCGAAGGGTGAGAGGCATCCCTATTTTATAGGGGGAAACTGAGGCACAAAGAGACTAAGGCTATGTCTACACTAGGGACCTAGCAGCTGCACCGCTGTAAGAGCTCTCGTGTAGCTGCTCTATGCCGATGGGAGAGAGCTCTCTTGTCAACTTAATTAAATCACCCCCATGAGTAGTGGTAGAGCAAAACTCTCCCGCCGGCATAGCCCGGTGCACACTTCCGCTTACGCCGGTGAAAATTTTATGTTGCTCAGGGGTGTGTTTTTTCACACCCCTGAGCGTCATAAGTTTTGCCGACATAAGTGCTAGTGTAGACAGGGCCTAAGTGACTTGACCAAGCTCCCAAAGGGAGTCTGTAGCAGAGCAAGCTTTCCCCTGCTCCTTCCCAGGCATCACCTTCCCATGTGTCCTCTGTAGGCAGGGGATGCATGGGGAAATCGTTCCTTAGCCTCCTGTCTGAGGGTGTCAGCCAGGCTTCCGGTCAGTGGTGGCGAGATCACAAGAGTGATTTCTGCAGCTGCCGCGTGAAGTAAAACACGTGAATGCCTCACCTTAGTGAATGAACGAGCTCTGGCTAAGCCACCCTCAGAGCCAGGGGCAGCACCCATCAGCCTGACGCTGCATCTTTAAAAGTGCAAAGTGAGACAGCCACTGTTGCTAACCCCGTGCATTCAAAAACCACGAGTCAGCCCCTAAAACGTCATGACTGGCTTAAAAATAAGAAACGTGGGGTTCTTTTATGTGCCTTTCAGGGTCACATTGTCAAGCATTTTGCTGCAACATGGCAGCCTAGAATCGAGTTTAAAGGAAGCAAGCTGAGCGTCTCGCCTAGTGTCAGGGTTCCCGGGGCTCGGGCTTTAAGGAAAACATCAGCTAGCCCAAGCCCCAGTGGTAACAGCATGAGAGCTGACAACACTGCCAGTCCGTGGACCGTGTGGTTGTCACCACACTGAAAGCCACAATTGCTCAGCTGCCCAGCCACTTGAGGGGTACAATCTGTATCCCTCCAATGCAAAAGCACAGGTCCCCTACTGCTTGACCTAAAGGGGAATCTCCATTAGCGGTGTGGGGACTATGACGTGCAGCTGAGCAGCCCTGATTCCGTCCAGGGCTAGTGTGTCTATTGCTAAGGGTGAGCATCATCCCTGGCCAGAGGCCTGGCTCTACAGTTGGGCGTAGGATTGTGTAGCTCTGCTGTTGACAGGGGATGGGAGCAGCTGTGCGTAGGCAGTCACACCAACTGTCCAACCCGCAGACAGCACTGCCCTTCAGCTGCCGGTCCCTGTGCTTTGAAGTGGGTTAGTTCTGAGTGCGAGCCCTGGGGAACCCCAAGCTCCTGGACCCCCCCTTCATACGCTGCGTCCATCACCTCTTTCTTTCTTTCCACTCCAGCAGAAATCAGTGAATAGATTGCAGCAGCCATCCAAATGGGTTTGTGATCTACTTAATCCGTCCCTTTCAGAGCCCCCTGGCCCCACCCCCGGAGACCTTTTCACCCGCAGGGCGCTCGCTGCAGTTTATTTCTGCACAGACAAAAGCCCCCTGAGAAGACCAACTGCTCCTCAGCAGGGCCTTATTTCTCAGCCGCCTCCACATCACTAGATTTGTAGCCCTGCCATGCAGTGGGAGCCACACAAAGGAGCTCCTGCTCCCCCGCCCTTCCTTGTAAATGAGAGCCGCGAGGAAAAATACAGGAATTTTGTTCTGGTTTGGATGCCGGCCCTATTACCTGGCTGCCTGCCAAGGCAGCACTGTGCTGCAGAGGAAGGGGAGGAGATGGCAGCCCTGCTCCATGGTGTCATTGTTCCACTTGTGTACCCAAGTCTGCACTCACTGACCCACACACACATGTATCTTCATCTATACACAGGCATGCACACAGACGTACATCCACAGTTACACAGCTCCATCCATGCAAAGCCTTCTGCAGAAATAAATCCACTTGCAATGTGGTACAAACCGATGGGGGCTTGGGCAATGATGCACATAACTATGCATGCAAATGTGTGCACAAACATGCCTGGACAATGATTACACATGCAGGCTCATGTACCAGCGCTATGTGCATGTGTGCACACGCGCCCCCCCCGTATGCACAGCGACACATGTATGCAGGCACATCCCTGTGCATTAATCAGTGCACGTGCCCACATCATACAGGCGGATAGGCATGTGCACGGGAAGGCATGCAAATGCTGGTCTACCTGTAAACGCAGGGACAAATATAACAACCAAATGCCCCTCATGCGCTAACATTACACACCCCTGGATGCATGCACACACTTATCCACAGTGACAGGCATGCAAGCACCTGTGCATAACTGTGTTTGCAAATGTTCCAGGCATGTGCATGCAGATTAATGCATTAATGTTACATACTCCCCATCTTGCACATACAGGCATATTCACACACACCCACAAAGCCCTGTGCGTAAATAAATGTGGATGCACACACGGTACAGACTGATGGCTATGCGTACAGTGATGCACATAAATGCTGGCATAAACATACCCAAATGCATGCGTGGATGAATATCCCATACACAGCTGCATGCACTCACCTGCAGACTACTGCACACACACACATAAATATCGCTGCCCACTGCGGGTGGTGGATCGGCCCTTGGAATAGAACTGGGGAGAAGACCCCGTTTGGCTCTGCTCCAGACCCCGGACAGAGGCGTGTCTATGTGGACCACCTTCCTCCCTGCTGCTTTGCCGTTTCCCTCACAGGCTCCTGCTCCGTGGGTGGAGAACACTAGGCGGCTACATGGCTGTGTTTTTCCGTGCCAGCCCTCGCGCTGGGTTCAGCTCCCTGGGCGTGCTGCTCCAGGTCAGAGCCATCCGGCGCATTCCAGGCCTTGGGAACAAGGCCAGGCAGCCCCTGCTCGGCGCTGGAGGAAGAGACCCGTGAAACAGCTCTGGGAGGAAATGCACCAGCTGCCTAGAAACAGCCAGGAGCCAATGCAAGCAGCTGAGAGGCGGAAAGCGAAAGAGAAGTGAAACCAGTATGCACGCTTCCTCGGGGGCTGCTTGGCCTTAGCCCCACCGTCACCATGGGGAAAACACACCTGGGGTACGCAGAACAGCTGCACCGTCAGCAGGGTGACCTCCCCCACCACTCCCACCAACGTGCCTCAGCCCCATCCTGGAGGCCACTTCTAGGGGTCAATGGGGAGTTAGTCTCTAGGGCCCATCCACGGCCCCTCTGCTGAGTTTCCTGCTGTCCATGCCACCATTTTGTTGTGTCCCAGGCCCTGGCTACCTGCTTGATATGTATCCAGAGGTGGCAGCCCTGACAGTTGCATCAGAAAGGGGGAGTCTTCAGCCAGGAAGTGGGGCACTGCCCGCAGGGCCGAGTCCGCAGCCAGAGAGCCCCAGCGTTCGGGAATCAGGTGTGGGGCTGCCAGCCTGGGGGCCTGTGGATGTGGCAGCCTTGTGGTGCTGAATATAGTGGCGGCAGGACACTGAGCGAGCTACAGTCGCTCTGCAGGGAGACGAGTAACCAGCTGCGAGGGGCTCAGTGCCGACAGAGGCAGGTGTTGGCGTTTGTGTGTCTGGGAGCTGATCAGTGACAGTGCAGCCCGGCTGGTGGGTCCTTCATGCAGTCGCTTGAACAATCGTTTTGTGGGGTGGGCGGAAGGAAAAAAAAATCCTTTCGGGTCTCCTTTCTCTAGCCGAAAGAAGCAACGGATAGCTCAGCCCCTGCCCTCTTCTTTTCCTTGACAGATCACCTCTGATCAGGGAAGTCTCTGTTGCTATAGGTGGAGGAGAAAAGGTAAAATAGGTGGAGGAAAGTGGGGATCCAAATGCCCGTCCCAGCTCATCTGTACAAGTAACTGAGGGTTGTGTCCTCATCCCACTTTTATGGGGTGCGTTTTGGGAACCCCAGCCAAGCTCAGGGCTCTATTGAGCTGGGCACTGCACCCATGCATGGTAAGAGACAGTCCTTGCCCTGAAAAACTTACAATTTAAGTAGGCAAGACTGCCAAAGGGTGGGAGGGGGAACAGAGGCGGGCAATGATTTACTCAAGGTCACAGCTGGGGCTAGAGCAGGTCTTCTGTGTGCCAGCACAGGGCTCTAACCACTTGGCTGTGCTCCCACGGAATTCAGTGCGAGCTGGATCAGACCCTCATGCTGGCTTTTCGGTTCTGGGTCAGGCCCTTGGGCCATCACATGCGGAAAGACAGCTGCTCTGCTCAGCAGTGCTCCTGGCTGGTAGTGCCTTGCTGCACGGGGAGAGTGGGGGGAATCACTTGCTGCCCTCCTAGTGACCGGGGTACGCCCTACAGCATGAGATCTGGTTGGCCTTATCCTGCATGGCGGCACCCATCCGAGCTCCCGGCTGGCGGTGCTGGAGCTCCCTTTGCCCTGCATTTAATTTGGTCCCTTCCTGCTTTTAAAAACCACAGTAAAGCTTCTGACTTGCAAGGGTTTTTAGGTCAGCCACATAGAAGGGGTCAGGCCCACCCGCGGGGTGTCCCTTGACCGGGAGTAACCAAAGCAAGTAACCAAAGTAACCGCTGTGCACTGCGCCCCGGCGTTATCACCGGCGCAGCTCCCAGCCCAGCTCACACGAGGGAGGAATTATGGTCCAGTGGTCTGTAGGTGATTAGATAGCGTCATGCAGCCAATCTGCAACCAAGCTAGAAGTGCAGTGAACCCAGGCCAAGCAAGCAGCTCAGGGCAAACTCTGCAGCCGTGTGTCTTTGAGAATTGTGATGATAATGGATTGTCACACTAGCTCCCACTCTGTGCCAGGTACTTTGCAGACACGTGGGGTCCAGTGACTAGGGCACTAGGGCGGGACCTCGGTTCAATTCCCAGTTCGGCCCCTGGAGCTGCTGGGTGACCTCACTCAGGCTACTTATCCTTCGCCTCGGTTCCCATCTGTGCAGCGGGGTAATAGCACCCCGTCCTGCCCCAAGGGAGGGGTGTGCGGTGCTGCAATGGGGAGGGCCGTGTCAGTACCTAGCTAGACAGAAGAGGGGTGGTCCCTGGTGTGAGGAGCTCACAGTCTATGATAAGAGAGGTCCCAGGGATCCTGACCAATTGCTCTTTCCCAGGGACAACCAGGTCCTTCAGCAGCCAAAACCGCCTGGCAACCAAGACCCAGATTCACAGAGGTATTGAGGCGCCTAACTCCCCTTGCTTTGGATGGGAGTTAGGCACCTATGCACCTTTGTGAGTCTGGGCCCGGGTGTGCAGTGGCTCCGGGGAGGAATGGACCTGGCCCCTGAAGCAGAGGTGGGCCCAGAGCTGCTCCTCTGGAGGCTACCCATGTTCCCTCCAAGCTTCTGGGGATTGGGAGAAATGGGGCCTACACCCACATGCCCCCTGGCCTATCTCCCTGGCTCCAGGGCTGTATTCAACACCTGACCCAGGAGGCCTTGTGAAAGCCAGGCCCGGCCTTGCCTGTGTCTATCCTGTCACTTGGTAAAGTGCTTTGGGGCCGCTTGCTTTTCTAGGGGCTTAATCCCACCCCCTCTTCCAGCCGCAGTGGAGCAGGACTTGAGGAGCCTGCTCAGGGGACCCTGCCACCTGCCAGGCTTCTCCGCGAATCACGGCACTGCAGGGATTTGGGGAGGGGGTTGCCAGTGGGTCTGCAGCTCCATGGCTCCAGCAGTATTCCCCCACCCCGCCAGTAACGCGGAGGGGCCGCAGGGCACAAATGTTCTGGGATGGGAATGGCAGCCCTAGAGTGGAGCGGGCCTTCCCCCCTCCCTAAGACCCTCCCGGCCGCTAGGCCCAGAGCCAGGTGGCCCCTGAAATTCAGCATGCGGCTTTGTCAAAGGGAGATTTCCGCCCCACCCCCCGGCGTGGAACTCAAGCCAGAGCCCTTTGCCACCCCCATGGTGGTCCTGGTGCCTGGGAACCACCCTGGGTCACACCTTTCCCCTCCCCGCTGGGGAGCAGCACCGGTTGTGTATCATGCTAGAAGCACTCAGCGGCCCAGCCCAGCCACTGTACTCTGTGTAACTCCTGTTGTTCACTGATATGCAATTACCATCTCAGGCACCCTACATAAAGTCTTGCTCAATTTCTTTGCCACGTCGGTTTGCACTCTGAAGGGGTGGGGTGAAATGGGCAAATCCAGCATTGCTTACAAAGTTCATGTGTTCAGGACGCTGAACGTCACGGCGACAGTGAAGACAGAGCTGAGGCTCTTCTGCTGGAGACTCACAGGCCTCTATCACGTAACTAAAGGAAATTCTCCATTTGCAATACAGGGCTTATGACTCACAGTCGAGCAGTTCTGATTCTAGGCCTAGACACCACTAGTCCATTACTGCGAGATGGGGGGGTGTAAATAAAACACAATGGCTATGCAATTTTAAGAAACCTCTTTGCAAACTCATCTGAGCTCTGTGAGAGGCAGCAGAGACTAGTGACTAGAACAGCTGACGGGATATCAGAAGAGCTCTGTCTATTTTGATTGCAAGCGTCTTGGGGCAGGGACTATGCAGGTACAGTGCCTGGCACAATAGGGTGCCAATCTTGTTTGGGGCCTGTAGGTGTTACTGTAATACATATCATAATAAGAGTGGTGGAGAAGCACTGTGGGTTCCCTAGGGAGGTGGTGGAATCTCCATCCGTAGAGGTTTTTAAGGCCCAGCTTGATAAAGCCTTGGCTGGGATGATTTAGTTGGGGTTGGTCCTGCTTTGAGCAGTGCACTGGACTAGACGACCTCCTGAGGTCTCTTCCAATCCTAATCTTCTTTGAGTCTAATGTTGCTTAGTCTAAAGAAGACTGGGGACTTCTTGTGTATTCACAAGTTTTATTACCCAAAAGAAACTGCAAAAGATTCACAGATTCCACAGCCGGAAGGGACAATGGTGATCATCTAGTCTGACCTCCTGTATCACACTGGCCAAAGAACTTCCCAAAAATAATTCCTAGAGCAGATCTATTAGAAAAACATCCAGGCTTGATTTAAAAATTGTCAGTGATGGAGAATCCACTGTGACCCTGGGTAAATTGTTCCAGTGGTTAATTACTCTCATTGTTAAAAATGTACGCCTTATTTCCGGTTTGAAATTCTCTAGCTTCACTTTCAGCCACTGGATTGTGTTAGACTTTTCTCTGCTAGATTGAAGAGCCTATTATCAACTATTTGTTCCCCTTGTAGATACTCATAGACTTTGTTCAAGTCACCCCTTAACTTTCTCTTTTTAAGCTAAATAGATGGAGCTCCTTGAGGATACCACTGTAAGGCAGTGGTTTTCAGACTTCGGGTCGCAACCCAGTACTGGGTTGCCTTGCTCAGCACCCAGGGAGACTGGCAGCCGGTCAGTAAAAATGAGTAGTCCCTACCTGTTCTGACACTGTGCTGCGCCCCGGAAGAGGCAAGCAGCAGGTCCGGCTCCTAGGCAGGGGGGGGGCCATGGGGCTCCACGTGCTTCCCCTGCTCCGAGCACCAGCTTCACACTCCCATTGGCCAGGAACCGGCCAATGGGAGCTGGGCAGGGGGGCGGTGGTGCCTGCGGGCGAGAGCCCGCGGAGCCGCTTGCATGCCTCTGTCTAGAAGTCGGACCTGCTGCTGGCTGCTTCTGGGGTGCAGCGTGGTCCGCGGTTCCAGGACAGGCGGGAAGCCTGCTTCTGCACCCCGGCTGTGCCACTGACCAGGAGCCGCTGGAGGTAAGCCCGCGCCCCAACCCCTGCCTCAGCCCTGAGCTGCCCCCAAACCTGGAGCCCCCTCCTGCTCCCCAAACCCCTCATCCCCAGCCCCACCCCAGAGCCTGCACCCCAGCCCAAAGCCCTAACTCCCCTCCTACACCCCAACCCTCTGCCCCAGCCTAGAGCCCCCTCCGACACCCTGAACCTCTCATTCCCGGCCCCACTCTGCAGCCCTGACCCTCGCACCCCAACCCTCTGCCCCAGCCCTGAGCCCCCTCCCACACCCCAAACCCCTCATCCCCAGCCCCGATGTGTCACGGGCATCAATAGTTTTCTTCAACTGGGTCGCCAGAAAAAAAGTTTGAAAACCACTGCTGTAAGGCACGTCTTTAATCCTTCTCCTGGCTCTTCTCTGAGCCCTCTCCAATTTATCAACGAGATAGGAGCCCCGTTGTGTTACAAGCTGCACGACCCCCGGCCAAGACAAGATTCAAACCCCACAGAATGTACAGCTGCCACCCAGTGACCTTGCCACCTAGCACATTATTCACAACCCCCTAAGCTATCACAAGCAAAGACATGAACAGTTAAAAGACAGTGGTTCCCAAGCTGTACCTTTTGCTGTTGGTCTGAAGGGCCAGTCACATGGTGCTGGCTTTTTCTCTTTGTTTCCAGCTGCTGCCCCACATTAAAGAAAGCTTAGAATACACTAGATGCGTTCCATCACATTACTTTTCTATATAAACAGTGGTTTCCATAGGCTGTTGTATGACTAGGTCTGGCCCCAAATTACCACTTGTTCTGCTGGGAATTTTAGACGATTTTTCAGATATCCCCCCCTCGATTTCCATTGGTGAAAAGTGGGGAACTGAAAGGGGAGGGTCGACAAAAGCCCAGGTTTTGGAAAGGAAATGTTTCAGTTTTAAAAATTTCAAACCAAACCATCAGGGCATTTTTTTATTGAGAAATGTTGCCACTGGGACATTTTTGGACCAGCTGTACATGTGGTCTTGATAAGAGAGGACGTGCCCACAGGATGATCTCTCTGTTCAGTTATGGCCTACACTGTGGAAACATGTGAGAGCCCCAGGCTAAGAATATCCTTAACTTCACACCACCCACATACCCAACAAACACATTCCTCTGATCTGGTACTAAAGAAATTAGTGGTTTCACCCTCATCACCCTCTCTGGCTCCTGACATCCTTCCTCCTGCTATAGCTCCCTCCTACGCCCCCAGCCCCAACTATCTCCCTTCTGCTGTGGTGCTCAGAATCCAAAATCCATACTCCGCACGGAGGACC